CCCCCAGTTCTGGAGAGCAGAGTCGCTTTTGAGCTTCTCTGGGTCCCCTTTCAGAGGAAGAGAGGACAGTGACACCCCTGTAACATCCGGAGGCTTTAGAATTGGGAGGGGGTCCCCTGTTCCTTATAGCAGTGTCCCTCTTCCTCAAAGATAAACAGACAACCCCCCTAAATCAAGAAGCTGCAAAAGCCTTCAAGTGGGAAGATGCAGGATCCCCCCCCCAATTCCTTGAATGAATAGTCTCTTTGCTCTCTCACCCTGGCTTGTAGAGGGCCCAGCAGGGGCAAAGGGTGTATCCTGGAGTCACCAGCTCACCCCCAAGGGAGCCCAAGTATGCTAGGATAAGGGTGGTGAGGGGGTACAAGGTGAGGGGAATGATACCGGAGGACCCTCAGCTGTTGGAGAGGAAAGAGAAGGAGCCAGAAAGAGGGGATCCTTAAGGTTGGGGTGTGTAAGGGTCCCAAGTGTTGACCAGCAGTGGCCCTGGGTTAGGGGAGTGTGTGGGTTGGGAGGAGGGATGACAATGTGTGAGGTGACACGGCCCGGTTGCCATAGGGGTCCCCCCTCCCTAGAAAACCCTGGGGCAGGGGCCTGTAATGGGGTGGGTGGGAGGGGTGCAGGTCCACACCTGCGCAGGGATGAAATTGAGGGGTGCAAGGTCACCCTGTGCCAGAAATGTTCCTTTCTCCTCCATTCCCTCCCACCCCCCACCCCCCAAGGTTTTTAGGCTCTTAACTCTAGGTGGGTTTTGTCTGGAAGAAGTCTAAGAAAGAGTGATGTTCAGGACAGGTGCACAGAAGAAGGGCTGGGGTCCTCGGCGGGGTAGGCAGAGGGGTGGGTGTGTGGTGGTGGGTTTGCCAGGGCAGAAGGCAGTAAATGGGTGACGGGGTGGGAGGGTGGTGGTGTCCGGAAGCAAGCAGACTGGGAAATGCTCTCTCCCTTGTTGGGGAGTTTGTCTTCATGAATGTCACTCCTACCAGGGGTACAACCCACGTCGTGGGGGCAGGGGGGCTCCTTTCACATTCTGTCTACTCAGGCTGAGATGAAATAGTGGGGAGGGGGGAGAAGTGGGGGCGTTCTCTCCCGCGAGGAAGGAAGTCCGTGGGGGGGGGCATGAAGGGGATTTCCAGAGAGGAGACTGGAGAGCTAGAGTGGGTGGAGGAAGTGGGGAGAGTAAAGGATTCGTTTGTTCGTTCCGATAGAAGAGGAGGGACACTTGCTTCCTTCTCGGATGGAGTTGGACAGGGTGGGGGGGCAGGTTTGGACCGTGTGGCTCCTGAGCAGCTAGGTGAGTTGGGGGTGGGGCGTGGTGGATTCTGGAGTAGAGGTGGGGGCGCTGCTCTTTACCGTTGAAGGGCAGACCAGCAGGGAGCGGGACCGTGCTAAGTCCTTTCTTGGATGGAAGTGGGAGTTCAGGCCAGAGGTGGGGAGCTTTCCAATTGAAGAAGGAGTTGGGGTCTGCAAGGGCAAGAGTGGGTTTGTTGTTGTTGTTGTTTTCCTTCCAAGGCAAGCGCCTTGTCCTCCGTGGAGAAGGACGCGGTGGTTCTGCAGGGTCTTTTTTTTAAGTTGTGCAGGGAGTGGAAGACTTTGGTGGAGTAGGGAGATTACCCCTTTGGGTAGGAGGCCATACCTAATAGGGGTGGGGGAAGGCCGAGGAGCCAGGAGCCAGTGGGGGAGCTGGGAGGGAAGGGGGTGGGTAGGCATAGAGGCATTCTTCAGCATCAGTGGGTCTACTGTTGGCTGCACACTCAAATCCCCTAGGGAGCTTTTAAAAACCCTGAATGTTCAGGCCACACCCCAGACCAATCAAGGCAGAATGTCTCAGCTGGGATACTGGATAGGGGGAGGGGGTATTTCTTATTCATTTTGTTCCAACTCGGAAGCAGTTGCCTGTGCAGGACACCTGGAGATGCCTTAGAACGGTGCCCTGTAGGGTTTTGTAGAACGGGCTGGGTGTTCAGGAGGACCTGGTGGGGCCTTTTCCCACCTTCCAAGGTGAACTCCCATGATGAACTTCCAACCTACCAATTAGCAACTGAGGGTGAGACCCTTTGAGAAGCCCTGGTTCCCCAGCCAGGGAGACATTGCGCATGGGATGTTGTTGTTGTTGTTTGGGGGGGTGGGCTTGGAGTCCATTTGGACCCCAAGTGATAGAGGAGAACTGCCCCCCACCCCCCAAGGTTTCCTAGACTGTAATATTTACAGGAACCATCGCCCCACTCACATCTGTCTCCTTCAGGGTCAGGGGGTGAGTTCCAACAGCTGACCTTTGGGGATGGCTGGGAGCTGCTTAAGCGTTGGGCCACCAGGCTGTTCCATGGCCTCCGGGAGGCCTGGGGCTGCCCTGAAGGGGCCAGCTTGTGAGAAGATGCCCGTTTTTTTTTCTTTTTTCCCAGCTGATGACCCAGTGGGAGGTTCCCCCCCACCCCCACCCCAGGAGAGGACCGATGTGGTCTAGGAAAGTGTAGAAAGAAGCTGGAATTCCTCCCCTCCCCTCCAATCCTGTCTCCCCCCACCCCAGCCCTCCTTCTCTGCACCTGTCCCTTACCTCTGGCCATTACTCTTTGACAACCAGACAACCACTCCACCCCACAAGACCCCTTCCAGAAACGTTGAAGGGGGGTGGGGGGAGGAACAGGAAGCAAACAAGGTGGGGGGTGCGCAGAAGGAGGGGAGTCACTCTGAGTCCCATCAGGGAGGGAGCTTGGCTTCTTTGGAAGGTCACCCTTGTTTCATGGTGGCCTCTTCCCCTGGGAGGTGGGTGTGGGTGGAGGAATGGCAGAAGGGGTGGGGGGCAGAATCCCTCAACTGGGCATATCTCTGAGGCCAAGTTGGGGAGACTGGTAGAAGATACAGGCAATAAAGAGAGGGGACTTCTGGGGAGCGGTGGGTGGGGCGAGATTTCAGGAGAAGGGTGATGATGGG